TTGTAAATAATTCTTTCTGCTAGATACCTTCTTATATTTCAGTGGTTGGCTTTGTAACCTCTCATTTTGCTTTCTAGACCTGATGAATGTATGTAAATATGCCTTATAGATCTTTTGCTATTTATTAATTATAAGTGTGGCCCTTTTGTCTTGAGGAGAATCGTTGCTTGGTAAATGCGTTGGTTATGACATTGTACAGATTGGAGCTGTTGCGGCCCCTTTTCCTCGTAGTGCATTAATGTTATTTAACATCATTGATATTTAACACTAGTCTAAGTGGCATCACTAGTGTCATTAGATTACTGGTCAATTAAATTTAAGGAATTATGACATATATAGTAGGATCTATGATATGTTGATATCTAGATTGATGTTCAAATATTACTGATGCTAAATAGTGTTACTTTTTAAGGTACAAGTATGTACGCTTGCACAAATGGAAAATGACTGAAATAGTTATGAAGAAACAAAGCTTTGGGCCCTCCTGGTAGCGTACGGTGCTTATACTGTTCCAATAAGCAAGTGCTTCCTGAAAAAATGAGAGCTGGCTTTTTTCTTTCATTTTACCTCCGTCGTAAGAATTAGTATTGAGCAGGAAAAGCAAAGAAGATATTCAGATAGTCAAAAATTTCTAGAGGTTGTTTTGCCTTGGGTGTATTTATAGGTGCCTGAAGCCATGTGAATATTGGGCGGTTACGTTGCCATGTGTCTCACGTACCTTATCCACTACCCCATGTTCTCAGTGGGGGACCTTCAATTATCTGATGGTTGCGTTCGTGACAATCGTTAAGCGATCTCTATCCAAAATATAGATGTAAAGTGCTCATGGGGGTTGACGGTCCAACATGGACGTAGAGCGCTCATGGGGGTCGACGGCCCAGCATGGACGTAGAGTGCTTATGGGGGCTTACGATCACTCATGGTGGTCGACGGTCCAGTATGGATGTAAAGAGCTCATGGTGGTCGACGACCCAGCATAAACGTAGAGCGATCATAAAGTCGATGGCCCAGCAAAGACATAGAGCAGTTATGGGTGTCGACAACCCAGCATAGACGTAGAGTGCTCATAGGGTTGATGACCTAGCATGGACGTAGAGTGCTCATGGAGGTCGACGGCTCAGCATAAACGTAGAACGCTCATGGAGGTTGATGGCCTAGCAAAGACGTAGGGCGCTTGTTGAGTAGCTTTCACGTTGTTGATTTTTATAAACAATTATTAGTACCATCCAATATCACTAGCCCCTCTACCACTTGTCGATATTTATCGATAAGGAGTAGCATCTTTATCCCTCTACTCATTTTATTTTTGCCTACTCCTCTCATCAATAGTCGGTATAATATAAGTGGGTTGAGCATTTCAAGTGGCGTAAGATGGTGACAACACTAAGTGGGTTTGGGTTTTGTCAGGAAATTTCTCCCTAATAAATTCAAAGCTTTTGCTTATATAGAGAGGTGAGTTCCTCATTTCCATTCATTCCTCTTGCTCATTTGGTAACACTCTTTTCTATCTCTCTTTAACCTAATTTTTAATCTTGTTTTTCCTCCTATCATGTATAAAACCATCATTTCTTCTTCCTCCGACGAGAGTAAGAATGAGAGAGTCTGGTTGAAGCTCGACCAGCCAAGGCTGGTTAACTGTCGACCCGTCGAGAGGCTTGCTGGTCGTCTCGCGACCATCCCTGTCGAGCTCCACCCTCAAGAAGTTGTCATTCGCCCTATGATTCTGATAGCCCATTCCATACGGTCGAAATTCAAATATTCCAAGCAAGTTCTCCCAAAAGATACATCGAGTCAATCAAGTCATTGGATTGAAACTTAGAAATTGGTCGGGGTCCTGCAAGTGAGGTTGTTGCTCTTCAATGTGTACAATTTAATTTGCTTTCTCTTGCACTACTTTCCCATCTAATCGTGTAGTAGTTCGCGGAAAAGATATTTGATGGGGGTATGCCTTGCTTCTTAGGGTCGATTGTCAATCGTAGGGCATTGTGAGATTGATGGGTGTAGGTTGTCTGGCCTCCAAGGCCATATTGAATGTAGAGTAGGGGGTCCAGTGGTTTAGGACCTTAGCCAATCTTTGGTTTTGAAGGCTCATCGTTGGGACCATAGAGTGCTGTTAGGTGTGTACCCGACTTATTGGTTTTGTCGTATTCCGCGCTAGACCCTTGGGTTGCGTCGAGCGTAAAATGTGTCATCTAGTGGTTTAGGGTCTTAGCCAATTTTTGGCATTTTAGGCTCTCCACTTAGCCACGTGGGCTATGTCGACCATCGGCGTAGGGTTTAGCGGTTTAGTGCCTTAGCCAATTTTTTTGGCTTTGAAGGCTCTCTACTTGGCCACTTAGGCTATGTAGATCGTCGGGCGTAGGGTCTAGTGGTTTAGTGCCTTAACCAATTTTTTAGTTTTGAAGGCTCCCCGCCTAGCCGCTTGGACTATGACGACCGTCGGGTGTAAAGTCTAGCGGTTTAGGATCTTAGCCAATTTTTTGGCTTTGAAGGCTCCCTGCCTAGCCACTTGAGCTATGTTGACCATCGGACGTAGGGTGTAGCAGTTAGAACCTTAGCCAATTTTTTGGCTTTGAAAGCTCTCCACCTAGTCACATGAGCTATGTTGACCGTCGGGTGTAGGGTCTAGCGATTTAGGGCCTTAACCAATTTTTGGGCTTTGAAGGCTCTCCGCCTAAACACTTGGGCTATGTCGATCGTCGGGTGTAGGGTCTAACGGTTTAGGGCTTTAGCCAATCTTTTGGCTTTGAAGGCTCTTTGCCTGGGATAGTATAGCGCTGTCGAGTTTATAACCAATTTATTGGCATTGTCGATCTTTGCCTAGCCCTTGGGTTGTATTGAATCTAGAGTGTAAGGTCTTGTGGTTTGGGGCCTTTACCAATTTTTGGGTTTGAAGGCTCTCCACTAGGACCATAGAGCGCAATCGAGTTGACGGAGGTTTATAAAGCTGCACGTTAACATAAATTGACTAGATTTGGGAGCCCATGAAGCGCACTGGGATGTCCCAGTTGGGCTAGCCTTTCCTTAGTATTGACATACTTGTCTTTCTTCTTTAGCAAGTCACGCATCGACTCTGGGAAATTTTTAGAGAGTGATATCTTAAAGGCTCAACTCTGCGTCCCGTTCATCAATGCAATTTTTACTGTAGACGTCTGAAGATCCTTTATACCAAGTGTCGCCCTGCTAAACCTAGCCAAGTACTCCTGCATGGACTTTTATTTCTCATGTATGACTTGCATCAACCTAATGGCGGTCTTCCTCTTCCTCTTTCTGCTTAGGAAGTAAGTCACAAAACTTTTGGAGAGCTCGTCAAATGTTCTAATAGACCAGCGGGCAGGTGTTGCTACCCAATCTCTGGCCTTCCTCTTGAGTATTAGGGAGAAGGACCGACACATTACTACGTCAGGTGCTGCATAGACTCTCACCAAATCAACTAAGGTCTGCAGGTGGCCAAGAGGACCTATAACTCCGTCATACGCTTCTATCATAGGTTGTTTGAAGACCTGGGTAGAGGGACCGCCATGATCTCTGGTACAAATGAGTTTTCTTCCAAAACCATTTGCTTACGTATGTCATTTTTTCTGGAAAGTGCATCATCTATCTTCTCGATCATTATTTCCTCCATCATCCGTTCCAGGTCTATCATGGCTCATAAAGGCTGCAAAAAACTGTTACCCTTGGAGCTCCCGAGTATGTCGTCATCGGTTGGATGACGGGTGGGGCCTCTGTGGGTACCTCGCCGAGTTCAATTATGGGATCGTGGTTCTTTGTGCTTGATTCTGCAAGAGGGTCATCATCGTTGCCAACTTAACCTCCAAAGCGCTAAATTGGCTTTGTGTTACATACTGCGGCGTTGGTGGTGGCGGTGGATCGGGACCCCTTGCTACTGACTTTAACTTCATTTCTGCTACATTCCCTATTAAACGTGTATCACTTATTGTTCATCTTCTTGACATAGCTTTTCTGTTCAGTAGAGTTTCCCACAGATGGCATCAATGAAATAATTATGAAGAAACAAAGCTCCGGGCCCTCTTAGCAGTGTATTGTACTTCTATTGTTCCAATAAGTGTTTCCTGAAAAAATGAGGGCGAAGCTTTCTCCCCCATTTTACCTCCGACGTAAGAATTAATATTGAGTGAGGAAAAGCAAAGAAGCATTCAGACAATTAAAATTTCGAGAGATACCTATTTTGCCTTGGGAAATGTCTGAAGCCATGTGAATGCTGGACGGTTACGTTTTCGCGTGTCCCACGTACCTCTTCTACTACCCCACGTTCTGAGTGGGGGCCCTCCAACTATCTGACGGTTGCGTCCATGACAGCTATTAAGCAACCTCTATCTATTTTATTGATGATTTTATAGCTAAGTGTTGGGTCGACGGTGTTGGTGATAGATGGTCCCATGGGAGTTGATGACCCAATATAGATGTAGAGTGCTCGTGGGGGTCAATGATCCAATATGGACATAGAGCGCTCATTAGGTTCGACAGCCCAACATGAATGTAAAGCGCTCATGAGGGTCGACGAACTAGCATGGGCGTAGAGCGCTCATGGGGGTCGATGGCCTAGCATGGACGTAGAGCGGTCGTGGGTGTCGACGGCTAGCATGGATGTAGAGTGCTCATGGGGTTTGACGGTCGCTCATGGGGGTCAACGGTCCAGTATTGATGTAGAGTGCTTATGGACGTAGAGAGCTCATGTGGGTAGATGGCCCAGTAAGGACGTAGAACAGTCATCGAGGTCAATGGCCCAGCATGGATGTAGAGTGCTCATGGAGTCGACGGCCCTATATGGACATAGAGTGCTCATGGAAGTCGACGGCCCATCATAGACGTAGAGCTCTCATTGGGGTTGATGGCCCAACAAGGACGTCGATTGCCTGTTGAATAGCCTTCACGTTGTTGGTTTTCATGGACAATTATTAGTACCATTCAATATCAATGACATTCCGACTTCTAATGAGACTTGACAACATTAGACAACCTCGACCTATCAAACATGTTATTAGAGTCAGCTCTTTATCTACCAGGCATCATAACGTGCCTAGACTGTTAGCTTGGTTATCAAAATGGGGCTAAAGCAAGCCTTAAATGAGAAACGAGTTGAACTAATGAATAGGGCCGAGGTCGTAGATCCCCACTAAAATTATGATGCTCTACTGTTTGGGTCGACCTTAGGCATAGTAATGTGGCCAATCTTAGTTGTGAGTCTTCTTGATCATCCATGAGCTCGTCCAAGTTATATATCGATTGGATCTTATAGTATCTCAAGTAGAATTCTCTTTCTTTTTATTTTCATGTGGGGTTTCTATACTCGTTTTTAGAACAAAAAACCTAAGAGTGTGTTTAATTGGCATGAAAAATATTACCTAGAAAAGAAAATGTTTTCTTTGTTTTGAGGAAAACAAAAATATACTCCCTCTAAAAAAAATATTTTCCTTAAAAACAAAGAAAATTAGACATATTTTCAAAAAATGAAAAATATTTTTAATGGAAAAAAATAACAATCAAACATTCAAAGTAGGAATTTGGGTGAAAAATTGATATTTTTTATGGAAAATAAATGCAATCAAAGAGTGTTTGATTGCAAGTATGAAATTTACATGAAAATAATATAAATTCTAGGTAATTGAATTGATTAAAAATTATTTGCATGAAATTTGTCAATTAAATGTGTTTGGTTAATTTTATTTTCAACCTGAAATATGTTATATGTCTATTTTTTATTGGTAAATAGATGAAAGAGAAAGGGAATTGATGAGAAAGAAAGAGAGAGTGAATTATTTGAAAAATAAAATCCTACTCCCTTAAAGAAAATATTTTCTTTGGTTTGAAGAAAAATATGGTCACGTGACCAAAAATGGGAATATAATTTCCATGAAAAAAAAATATCAATCATCCTACTCTTGTGCTATTTGATTGTCATTTTTTTCCATGAAAAACATTTTCCTATTTTTGGTCTCGTGACCATATTTTTTTCAAAATCAAGGAAAATATTTTCTTTCGGGAGAGTATGATTTTATTATTTTAGGGAATTCACTCTTTCTTTCTTTTTCTCATCCATCCACTCTCTTTCATCTACCCACCAATAAAAAGCGGATATGTATAATATTTTTCTAGTTGAAAACTAAATCAATCAAACACATTTAATTGACAATTTCCAAGCAAATAAGTTTGGGCAATTGAATTACTTGAAATTTATTTTCTTTCCATACAAATTCTATACCAAGTGTTTTTGTCAATTGCACTTCATTCATTTAGGTTCTGAACCAACTATGGAAGCAATCATTTCGTTCAGATTTCTTTATGATGCAAACTAATTTCTCGAGTTGTAGTATTTTTAATTATTAATTGTTGTTTCAAATATTGAAAAGTATTTTTAATTTAATATATTTGTTTGAACAAGTAGTGTAAAGAAATATCATATACGGATTCACGTATTTTTATCAAATACGATACTTTATATTAAAGAAAGCTGATTTTTTTGTTTATTTTTACTTTTTAACAACACATTCTTCAAAAGATTATTATTTCAAAAATCATTTTCACCAAAAAAAACTATTTCGAATGGCGATCAAATAGAAGCTAAGTAAAAATGCCATTTTTTTACAATATAGAATTATAAAACAACAAGGTCTAGTTTCCAATAGAAATGGGCTATGTAAATACTTTTTCTTCACCCGGGACACCTTAGAAACTGTAATTTTTCATCGATCAATCCATTTTTTGACTTGTACTAATGTAACTCTTAGCTTGTTTAAGCATTCGTTAAAATGTGTAATGGAAATATTTATGGGTACATCAGCAAGCAAAACAAACCTAAATTAACTGATAAACATATTACATCAATAGAAAACTTACTCCAATCTATATGATACGGCTAGATAACCAAGTGATATAAATACAAATTCAAATATACAACAATTAAGACCGTGATGCTAATCTTATTGTGCCCCTTCAAGATGAGCTTGACATGAGAGCCCAAACTTGTCTCAAAAATTAAGAAACTTTTCTCGGGAAAGAAGCTTAGAAGGTTAGCAAGTTGATCAGCAGAATACACATGAGCAACCCAAAGAGTCATTTTGAACCTGATCCCAAATGAAATGAAAGTCTATAGTAATATGCTTCATCATTGAATGAAAGACAAGATAAGAGCATAACGGATTGGTGCCAAGTACATGGCAAGACGTGTAGGAAGTTGAATACGTAGATCAGTTAGCAAGAAGCGCACACAAATAATTTCAGTTGGAGCATTAGCAATAGAGCGAAATTGCCTAGGAAATAAGATTGTGCCCTATATATACAAGGTAAGCACCAGTAGATGAGAAATCATGTTAGTTCCCTGACCAAAATGCATGTAAAGATAAAGACCCGATATAGCTTAAAACCAAGATTAAGAGTTCCACAAATATATTTAAAAAGACTTTTGACGAGGACCCAATGCTCAGTTGTAGGGTTGTGTATGAATCGTGAGAGATTATTAATAGTAAATGCAGTGTCAAGATGAGTAAGTAAAAGATATTGAAGACTACCAACAACTGCTCGATATTCTGTAAGGTCGAATAAGTTAGCCCCAAACTGTAATGAAAGAGACGAATCTGTTGGAAAATAAGTTTGAACCGATTTAGCATTTAACATCCATTAGATAACGTTGTTGAAAAAACAAGAAACCTTGTTTATTAGGGACAATTTCAACATCAAGAAAATAGGACAGTAGACCAAGGTCCTTAAGAGAGAAGCGTTTTGTAAATAACTCAACAAACTAATCCACTAGCAAAATATTCTCTCCAGTAACAATCAAATATGCTGACTCCAAAAAATGGGCCAACAGAATCTCGACCTTGCCTCATCCACATGGACATCACCTATACACTGAACACCCCCTTAGGCGGCAAAGGTTGTCGGTTGAGAAAAAATATGATCCAGTCATGTTGTTGGACCTTTTTCTTGACCGACGGCCTTTGACTCCTACCTGGGTGTTCAATGTGTATGTGATGTCCACGTGGAGAGGACAATGTCAAAATTTTGTCGACGCATTTTTTTGGGGTCAACAAAATCATCAATACGAAGAAGTAAATATAATAGATGCCCATTGGATTGAAGCACAAAGAGTGATGTAACGATATGAGAATTTTAAAACTAAAATGAACAAGTTCGTAATTCTTGACACCAGGCTCGTAGAGCTTGTTTTAACCCTGTTGGATTTTTGATA